AAAGTTATGTGAATGTGGTCTCTCTCTCTCAGAATGCCTTATTGTACTGTACCACAGGTAACTGAAACCCTAGATGGTGAAACTTCGACTAAGGGGAGACTACTGTACATACTCCATTTGCTGCAGAGATCCAGCTATGAGAGACAACTGCAGATAATATGTATACACATACACAGAATTGTATCCCACCTTGCCAGTCATCTCTAACAAGCTGCTGAGGATTGAATGATAACAGGATTTTCACTAGCTGTTGCTTTAAACAAAACACAAAGAGTTGCTTTTGCAGGTTTTGGCATGCTTTAGGAAAATTAAATTCATATGCATTTTAAATTTCCCAGAATCAGTCTGTGTCATCATATAGTTCTCAAAAGTCTGTTTGGAAAGTCCAACAGCCAGTGAAAATACAACCACAAGTTATAAGAGGTTGTTTTTCTGCAAGATATAACCATCACTTATTCCTTTATTCGCTGACTTGAACTTGGAGGGAAAATAGAACAATCCAGAGTCCATCAAGGTAGAAACCTTTTAAATCACAGCTTCCTGGTATATAAATCACACATATAAAAGAGAAGATGGCTATGTATGCATAAAGATAAGTATCTCAGAAGTAAACAACCGATCTTGGATTTGGAAAGACAGCAACAGCTAGACATACTTCAAAACATGGTAAAAATGAATACTATGTAATTATGCATTTAATAAAGTTTAATTTAAGGCACTGAGCTCCAGAAGAAAGGGAACTTTTCCATCCTGCCACTATGCTCCTTCCACACAAGAAGTCCAAATCCTTCCAGTCCTTTTTAAATTCTGATCAAATGCTACCTCCTTTAGGAAAGTTCTCTGATTCCCTCAGTTGGTACTAATATTCAAGACTCACTACTTTTCACACTTTTTTTTTTTTTTTGTGAAACAGAGTCTCACTGTCACCCACGCTGGAGTGCAACGGCATGATCTTGGCTCACTACAACCTCCAGCTCCCAGGTTCAAGTGATTCTCTTGCCTCAGCCACTCCAGGTAGCTGGGATTACAGGTGCATGTCACCAAGCCCAGCTAATTTTTGTATTTTTTAGTAGAAACTAGGTTTCGCCACGTTGGCCAGGTTGGTCTCTTAACTTCTGATTTGATCCTTCTGCCTTGGCCTCCCAAAGTGCTGGGATTACAGGTGTGAGCCACTGTGCCCAGCCATTTTCTGTACATTTTATCTCCTCTATGAGATACCACCTTTTATAAAAATCCCTTACCATATTATCACATATAACAGGCAATTCAAAGAAACATTCTTAAAATGGGTGTCCTGGGCTGGGCGCAGTGGCTCATACCCGTAGTTCCAGCACTTTGAGAGGCCGAGGCGGGTGGATAGCAAGGTCAGGAGATCGAGACCATCTTGGCCAACATAGTGAAACCCCGTCTCTACTAAAAATACAGGAAAAAAAAAAAAAAAAAAAAGCTGGGCGTGGTGGCATGTGCTTCAGGTTTCAGCTACTCTGGAGGCTGAGGTAGGAGAATCACTTAAACCTGGGAGGTGGAAGTTGCAGTGAGCTGAGATTGTGCCACTGCACTCCAGCCTGGCGACAGAGGGAGACTGTCTCCCACCCTCCACCCCCTGCAAAAAAAAAAAAAAAAAAAAAAAGGTGCCCTAGAAACTCAACACAATTCTAGTCTAAGCTCAGTCAGTAACCAGGGTATTGAACTCTGGGCCAGGGAGACTATTTTCCATCCCATTATCCTTCCTCAACTTTTCTTATCTATAAAATAATGTGTTTGACTAGGTTATCCTAAGGATCCTTTCCAATCCTAATATCGTCCATAGGTCATCTCTGGGGACTTATGAGTACTTCTAACATCGAGTATCCTTATAACAACCATTAATGAACCAATCTTTCAGATCTACTTAAATTTTTCCAGTTATGTATTAAATAGATTTGTTCACTCGGAAGTATTTTTTGATGTTCCAGCAAAGCCACTTAAACGTCATTATCCCCATCTCCAGTTGATTGGCATTATTGCATTATGTGCCTCAAGTCCAACAAGGACCCTCACTATGAAAATATCCTTGGGTCATTAACTGGAAGCCAATTTAGGAGAATTTCCTCATTTCATAGCAGTAAGCTTCTCAGGATGCTTTCATAATCTTCAGAAAGAACCACTATTTTCTCCAGTATTCAACTCAAATATATCTTGGTTATAACCTCTGTAGCAAGCAGTACTCTCCTGAACTGTCTGGTCCTGGCAGGACTTTTAATCACCCAACTTTATTTACAGTGAGTGAATCTTCACATATTAAAATGCATATTATTTCTTATGTATTATGTTTCTTGAAACTCTAGCACCAGAAATATTCCTGGCATGGACACACAGTCATATGAAATTCCCTTTAAGCCCTCTGTAGTAGACCCGATCCTGCAATACACTAGCATTAAGTCCTTATCTTCCCACTCAGGTCTCCTGGGCTACAATGGAAAGTGTTTCACACTGAAGGAGTACCATGTGAATTCAGTATAAACATTATATCCTCTCAAGTATACAGAAAAGTCCCAAAGATGCTTGCTGAACAATGCACCTATAAAAACAGATACCGCCAAATTTTTATGAAATCATTTTAGTCAATTTGGTATAAAAGAAAACTTGGGAAAAGTTCCATTTTAAAAGTCTCCTCTGGCCGGGCAAAGTGTCTCACACCTGTAATCCTAGCACTTTGGGAGGCCAAGGTGGGTAGATCACCTGAGGTCAAGAGTTCAAGACCAGCCTGGCCATCATGATGAAACCC